ACGTTCCAGACTCTCTCACATTGACGATCGGATCTGCTGCACTCGAGAACAGCCACTTGCGGTCATGCGACAGACACAAGCCGAGCACGCTGCCCTTGTGCGCATGTATGACACTGCGCCGCTCGTAGGTATCGAGGCTGAACACCTGCACGTCATAAGCCTGGAGCCTCTGGCGCTCGCTTAGACACGTACTAGGATCTCCCCGCCCTGTGTTCCAGCGAAGATGTACTGTGATGACACTGCTAACGCGAGGATCGATTTGTCGTGCTTCATTCGATGCGCGAGGGCCGGCGTTCGATGGCCATCTAGGCCAGACTTCTCTGCGCCCTGCGTCTCCAGAATGCCGTCATTATGCGGAGGCGCTGCTGTTGGCATGGTCAGCCCGGCTTGGTGTTGTATCTCTGGAGTGAGTGCATGGTCGCGTGTAAAGGTTTCGCGACTTGGTGGGAGCGATGACGGCACATTCAGGGTCCAGGGCCAAAAGCGCCGGCTGCGGGGCCCTGATGCATCACCGATGGACGCAGCAACTCAACTAGACGTACCTCTTAGTCCTACACCTAGGGCTGTCTTCACTTCCTGCGATGTAAGCGACGCTGACAAGATGCACATGGTCCTTCTTTCTGCTGAGCTACAGCCTGCGAGGAGATGGAACGGAAAGATGGCAGAAGAAGAAAGTCCCGCGCCGTGCGATAGCGGTGCTTCCCTTACCGTGCTCGAAAGAGGCAGCCGTTGGTCGGCTTCATCTACCTCGTTCAGCGTAATATCTGAGGACGTCTCGTCGTCGCTCGGTGACCTCTCAGGGCAGCTCGAGCCCTGCTGCTCGCACTGAGTAACGAGCTCACCGCCCCTACATGGCGAGCGATCTCGCTGCAATGACGCCATATCACAAGGTGGGAGTGTGCTTCACAGTAAGCTGAGATCATGGAATAGCATCACTGCTTCCTTTTTCTCGATTGGCATATCAGCATATCTCACAGCAAGCGTAGAGTGGTGCCAACATGTGTGCACCAGCGTGCAGTCACGTATGCACGTGTCGTACAACTTGGCGGCGCGCTGTCAATCATGCAGTCGCTCCCTAGTCTGCGAGTTCTGAATAATAGATAGTTCACCGTTCGCAGGCCCGAATACGTGGTCGCCGCGTAGAGAGCGGCTTCCGACGTTGAGCTACCAATTGTAAATGACGCGGTTGGTGTGGCCCGCCTCGAGTCGCTCGAGCTGCTAAGGAGACTTAGGACAGCCTCACGGGAACATGCATATCAGGGCGCGGGAGGCTGGAGGCTGCCGCATGCAGGTCGAAGAGATAGAGTGAAGATCGTCGGTGTGCATTCTGGAACACTCTGCCGCCAAGTTTGAGGATTGCGAAGCGCGGCCGAAGATTGGATAGGATGGGAAATCGGCAAGCAGAGATGCCTGTGTAGAGTGTAAATGGGACCAGTAGCCTTGATCGCCTGCGGGTAATGAATCGTCGATAATGCCTCACCAGCACCACCAGGGGGTGCCTTCCTTTCTGCGTTGAAAACGTGGGAAAAGTGGGTTGAGAAAAAGGAGCGTGGGACCTGGCACCCCAACCAAACTACAGCCACACTGCTGGCGATGACCAAGACTGTCAAACCCACGACAGCCTCGATATGACGCAGCTTGCGTAGTCGTCTCAGAATTCCAACCTTCTCAGCTCGACGTTGACAGCCTGTTGGAGTCTCGGCCGCGATGATAAAGCGCACCGCCACAGACGCCACAGCAGCACCGCCACGGCTGGCGCGGTAAGGGCAACCTTCCCAGCTGAAGGCTACCGGAGGCTGAACCTAGAGCCGATCATGCCAACTGGACAATGATTGACAATTCTCGATTCCAGCCGGATCCAGATTGGGGTTTGGGCAGCAACAGTCGGGTTATGGCTGCCAGGGCCTGCATCGTTGCATCAGCACGCGTGAGAACTGAGGCTGCCGAAATTTAGTTGTCCAGTCGCTGTCACGACACGTTCACGATGGCTGCAGTAATAAAGCAAGACAGCCATCCGCACCAATGGCAGGCGAAGCCGGGGCCTCAGTGCTGCAGCGTCTCGCTGCCCGCATAGCCGGCGCCAGGGAAGCGCCTCCAGTTACATGGCGACACGCGCTGCGACTATGCCCGGACTGCACTGGTTGAGTCTTCACAGCGCAGCCCACGAACCAGGGCGAGACGTCACAGACAAGCGATGCGAAGTATGCGGGCAGTCTCGTGAATGGCTTTGCTGCAGGTCGCTTCGGCCACTCTGGTTGCACCCCGCGCTCCACCACCATCATGGCTGCGTGTCGCGGTCGGTAGAAATCGCCTCATTCCGCGCGTAGTGTTCCGACAATAGCGCCGTCAGGAGTGACTCTGAAATTCCTTATAGTCGCAGCCTGGCCGCGACGACTTGGTGATCCAGGTGGGACCTTGTGGAGTTGCGCCAGCTGCCGTTTCCGCGAGCACTGACTGATACATGCTCACCGCCGCCTTTTAGGCCCAGGACACAAGTACCATTCTCACCGCAACCAGCCTCAAGGTCACACAAAACCCCTCTTGCCGCGCGCTGTGCAGCTGCTGCAGGAACACAACGCCCTACTACGTCACCATGGCCGTCGGACTCGGAGAGACTATTACTGTTATTAACAAGAGTGGGAAGGTCGTGAGCAGTGTGAGTGCCCGATAAGCTCGCTAGCCCCCCGATAAGCCCCGTACTCGTACTGACGCCCCGCCCAGAGCAAGCACATTGTCAACGTCTTCAAGGAGGCCAAGGCCGCCTACCGCGAGCGCAAGGCGGAGATCAAGGCGGAGCGCGATGCCGCCGTGAAGGAGAAGGAGCTCGCCAAGGGCGTCAAGGCCATCCGTTTGGATGACGACGATGCCCGCTCCCAGGTCTCGCATCGCTCCAAGGCGTCCAAAGCCCACACCCATCGCACCAAGGCCCATGACCGGCCTGTGATGGAGCGCGGCTACAGCGACAGCTTCTATGCCAACGACAGCCCGCGAAGCAGCAAACACCGCTTCGAAGCCGACCTCGCCGGCGACGCACACAACAAGGAGATTGCGAGGAGGAATTCCGATCAGGCCGTCCAGCGCTCGTCGCAGAGCAGCAAGTCGCGATCCAAGTCAGTCGACATGGACCTTTGCTACGGCGATGTGCCCCCGCCCCTGCCCGACAAGAAGTACAACGACGTCGAGCTGAAAGAGAAGGCTTCCAAGATCGAGTTGCTCCTGGACGAGGCCAACTGCTTACAACACACGGCCACGGCCATGATCGAGAACCTGCAGAAGAATCCTGAAGCGCTTGCCGCCGTATCACTCACGCTCGCCGAGATCAGCGCCATCGTCGGCAAAATGGGACCTGGTGTCCTCATGACGCTCAAGGGCAGCTTCCCTGCCGTTGCAGCTCTGCTCCTCAGCCCCCAGTTCATGATCGCTGGAGGTGTAGCTGTCGGCGTTACCATTGTCGCACTCGGCGGATACAAAATCATCAAGAAGATGCAAGTCCAGAAGGAAGTCGACGCACCCCTACCTGAGCCGCAAATGGCGATGCCCATGCGTGCCGCTACCATGCCCATCGAAGACTCCAACAACCAGCTCGACGAGCTCGAGCCCCAGGAGCTCAGCCGCGTAGAGCTGTGGCGCCGCGGCATCGCAGACGTCGAGGCCAACAGCTCCGGCACCAGTGTCGACGGCGAGTTCATCACGCCCGAAGCCTCCCGCACCCTTTGCGCCGCCGGCGTACTTGACGAAGACGATCTCAAGTCCCGCCGCAGCACCCGATCCAAGAAGCACAGCAGCGAATCAAAACACAAAGAGCACAAAGAGCACAAGCACCGCGCACCGAAGTCCGAAGTCAGCGTCAAGACCAGCAAGACCTCCGACTCAAAACGTCCCTCCAGCAAGGTTGCCTCAAGTAAAGTCGCTTCCAGCAAAGTCGCCTCCAGCAAATCCGGCAAGGAGAGCAGCAAAGAAAGCAGCAAGACCAAGAAGAAGGAGAAAGAGCCTTCCGGCCTCAAGATGTTGTTCCGCGCCCACACTGTCGCCGTCTGATCCCCACGGCTTCCAACCAAATCTCCTCTATCATAGCGTTTGGCGTTTCCTTCGTCCTCATCATCCTTCATCATCGTACATCAGCATTTAGCGTTGCTTTGCTTCCTCACGTTTATACCATCTAGACGACATTACATGGGCATATCAAGATCCCGTCGTTGGCCGCTTGCTTGCTTGCTTTGGAGTCTTCTGGGTTCGTTCGGCGCAGGGGCGAACATAATGGGTCATGACTATCGCGAGTACTACGAAGATCTTTTTCACGCTGCTTTTATGTAACGCATACGTATCAATTACACATTTACGGACTCGAGAACGAATTAATATGTTAACAGTTATCTCTCACAGGTACCCCTGTTCTTGCTACTTTCACACCGAGCACACTTCATCGATCCCAAGTCATTTACCACGAACATGATCTGATACCTGTCCCCTCCCCACTCCCCACTATTCACCCACAACTCGCACCGAGTATTATCAGACCGACATCTACCCCTTCCTCGCCCAGAGATCCAGCCTTCCCCCTCTCCCTCTCTCCGCGTCATCTGAAACACCTAACAACCTCATCGACCCAACGTCTCGCGCCTTTGTCTTTCACAATGTTCGTTCAACATGTCCAACTTCGTATTAAGCTTATCCTCAAGCGCAAGATGAGTAACGAAGACGATTCCGGCAGCAGAACGATACGAACAGACGACAAACAAAAATATGAATAAGAAGACTACCAACGTGAAAGTATGGACATAACAGGAAAGAGAAGGAACTGGTAAAGTGACCTGCAAGCAAGAATAAGATTACAAAGTATGAAGGGGAAGGGGTATCATGAATTATCAAGACATTTGCTGTAAAGGCCACTCGATGTCGCTATACTGATAAGGCTATGCCAACAAGCATAGCCATATCATATCTTCATAACCGCAATAATTGCAGTTCAATCGGCGATCGTCTTCTCGATTCTCACGCTCTCACTTGGGGTGGTTGCCAGGTGTTACCCCAACATCAGTATCAGCTTCATCAGCGTTGGCCTCGGTCTTTTGTCGCTTTGGTGCTGGCTCCAGTGGCGTGGTGGAATCAGCAGCGTGCGTACTGAAGCTGTCGTGTTCCGCATTTGCGATAGCATCTCCCATTGCGGCCTGCTGTTCAGCGTCCACAGAGGGGTTTCCCTCTGTATCGTCGAACTTGCGCTTCATCCAGGGTGGAGTGACCACACCTAGACCAGGTGGGGGTGGCAGGGCTCCGTTCTGATGAGGCGCTCCCGGCCCCTGCTGGGGTGTAGGGTTGGTAGTACCAGTAGGATGTGGCGGAACTCCGCTGTGATGGGGCACTGTTGGCGTCTGCGGAGATGTAGTGGCTACAGCTGGACCGGTATAACGGGGCAGGTTCCCATTCTGCTGAGGCACTATCGGCGTCTGCTGAGGCGCAGCGTTGGTGGTGCCGATTTCAGGTGTGTGTAGCGACCCGGTATAGCTTGGATCCATTCCTCTAAGCCAAGTATACGGGCCATAGTCAGCTGTACGGCGCTCTTGAGGATCCATCATGCTGATAATGAGCCATTTCCAGTAGATGTCTCGGGTACGGATCCTGCTCTCGGGCTCTAGTGTAGAATGCCGACGCACCCGCTCATCCAAGTCTACAGTGATACTCATAGAGAACCTGATCACGGAATTGCGCTTCGGATCGTACGGATGGAGTCGATTAACCACAGCGACGCAGTCCATTGGTGCGTAAGGATGGCCGTTGGGAGTTGGATGCTCGATGCCGCGTGAGATCGTCTGGGTGGAGTTCGGATTCCGCGCCAGCTCTTCTCTGATATCTGCTTCATATCGTTCTCGATCATCGACTCGGTCCCGGTTCATGATAGAGAGGTGCGAAGCGCAGAATTCTGCAGATTTAGGTATGGTTTCTGCGGCGTCTCTCCAAGCTCCCGTACTACCATAAGTCCAGATAGGTAGGATTTGGACTGTTGCCCTGCCGTTGTCTTCATGTAACGTAGCAGTTACGAGGCCGTCTCGAGCCTCCAAGTAAAAGCCATGCGGCCAATCCCGGCCATACGTATTCCGGATATATTCGTTTGGGTGGAAGCGGAGTACGCCTTTATCTGTGAACCACCATTCTCCGTGTTTGTCCTGTGTCATTCGCTGATCGGCGTCGATCTGACAGTGCTTGATCATCCAGAAGTCGACGATGTCTCCGAAGGATAATGGTGTGAAGTTTGGTAACACAGCGTGCCGACTTGTTCGAACGTGTTGATCCACACGTCCGTGTCCGTCTGGGGCTGAATAGCGACCGGAGTTGCTATTTCGAGTTGAAGCTGTCTTGGCCCTCTGGGGGGTCTCTCGACCACTTCCGCCCGTATTAGAGTTTTCGTATCCCGTCATGCTAACTGTAGGCCTGGCCTGATAGTTTGGGACCTCTCCAAAGCCTGGCGCGGTGCTAGGTACTGTTGGTTCTCCCGAGATCAAAGCAGTTGATGGGGCGCGGCTGTCGCTTCGAACCCCAAGCGGCATGTGGTTTGGATTCTGATTGTTGAACACATTCGTCACGTCGCGTCCAGCATGCAGAGTGGCAATCGAACGGATTTGCTGCGAACCTGAAAGCCGAGGAGGTCGCTGGTCTTCAGAAAGTCTCTGGTGTCCCTGGGTTCGGACTGGTGGGGATCGATTGCGAGGCCTCACCCTATCAATATCATCGCGGGACGGACTTGGTGGTCTCCATCTATCTGCTTGTCGACCGCGGTCGTTGGGCCGCCTGCCGCCAGATGCACGGCCGTCGTCCCTTGGGCGATCTCGTTCTAACATGACCAGTCGATCGCTGTAGTTGGGTTGAGACGGTTGCGACTCCAGAGGTGTTGATGAAAGCCTTGGTAGCCCGAGTAGTCGCCATTGATATAGGAAGAGGGGGCAGAGTGCCCCCCTACGAGTGTGAATTGCGGTCGCTAGACCATTTCACTCGGGTCCGCGCCCAACTCGAGAAGGTCTCTCGGAGTACACGCACCTATTATTCACAGTGTTCAAAGCTGTCGAGGTGCTGTGCTATGTGCCCACTCCGCTTATGTAAGATCGTCGAGCAACAAAGACGGGAGGGGGACAAAGGTAGATCCAAACAGATGACAACACGTCTTTGTCGTCTAATATGTCAACGTTGTCGAAATGATAAGCCTCTCTCCTATGGGGATTTGACATAGCTGCCGTGTCGCGAGGTTCCTACTCCTATATGTCAACAGACGCCTGTTACACATTCTGACGCGACCAATAACGACTTGCATAGGCCCCGGGTCTTCATCGAAAATGACGAAAACTTGTGGAAAAAGAGGCTTCGAAGACTACGTCAGTGATTCCTGCGAGAAAAACGTCTCCTATCCTGAGAGGCGTCCTTCCAAGTTTCTTCGCCTTACTGAGGACGCTGCACACGACATCCAACCAACGTACCGGTCAAAGAAGGGGAAGAATACGTCGAGCTGGCTTTGGTTATCTCCTGAAATTCATCCAATGTTCAGTGAAAGAAAAGCCGATCACGACTACCGAGCTCAGGAAGATGGAAAGTTCCTCAGGCTGGCACAGCAGGTTCATCCTCAGTATGTAGCCCCCGCTGAGGGAAAGAACAAACCAATGAGGACTTTAGCATCGGGTTCCTCCCACAATCAGTCACAAGCGCGAAATAGCCATCTGTCACACGGTATACCGTCAGCTTCTTCCACCCTGCAACAACACCCTCCTGCAGGCCTCATATCGTTTGACCCGGTCTGGTGGTGGCCAGATATCATACACAAGGATGACTTCCACAACGAGAGTGGTTTGCTATTAGTTGGCAGTCGAGAGAAGTTTCGTGCGGGCATCGTGCCGACGTATGAGCTGTTCTGTGCCATAATAAAGGCGGGCTTGGCCCGTCGTGACGCCGATTCGTCGTATGCATTGCGCAATCGCGAGCTGGACGAAGTTCAGCGAAAGTATGATAAGATGGTAGAAGAAAAGGCAAAATGCGAAGAGGAACAGCAGGAGCTCATTAGGTTGACTTCGAGCAACTACGGTGGATATGATCGTGAGACCTTCGAATGGGCGATGAAGCGTAAATCGGAAGTTATCTATCGTATTCGAGACCTTGAAGAAGAGGGAGAAGAGTTCCAGGTAGAGCAGGATAATATCTACGCTCGACATCAAGCAGTGAATGTAAGCACGATGGCCGTAGAGAAAACGCTTTGGGATTTGCTCGACGATCTTCTAGTACGGATAGGCGTTCTGCCCAGCATCGATGGCGACGACAAGAATCCGCGGGTCCGGATCTTGGACACAAGAGAGCATGTAGACGATCTCAACCTGGATTGGCCCGAGAACAATTGGAACGATGAGATACCTGGGGACTGGATACCCCCGCCGATTGTAGAGATATATAGCGGGGCATTTAGACCTCTGCGACAAGAAGAACCAGAAAGTACGTGGAATAACGCATGGAAGGACTATCCTCGCAACGACCACCTGCTGGCATTACAGGATGTGCTCTACCAAACGGCGGAAGAGGCAATACGCGTTGAGCGAGAGTTTAATGATGTCCGTGAGCAGTACGATCGGGAATTGAAGACTTACATGTTTCACCAGAGAGGGAAACGTGGCAATGCAAGTGTAAGGTCGTATCAATTAGAAGAAGAATTTGGTCCCATATGGTTGGAAAAATGCCGTAGGATTTCTGCGAAGATGCAGGAAGCTGACAGAGGCCATGCGCAGGCGGAGTGCGCTCTCTCTGATGCAAATCGGCATGATCGCGAGGTTCGAAGAAGGCCGTCCAAACCAGAGCTAGGCGCACCAGCTCAGACAAAAGCAATCGCAACACAACATTTTGGAGAGAGGATGTCGTCTAGGAAGAGGCGCTGGATCGACGAATGGCTTGGAGATGTGTGTGTAGAACCGCGCGATGAGGACCAGGAAGAACCTGGAGAAGAACCGGGCCAGCCTATTACCGTTGCTGTGGATGAGGCAAGTAGAACACTCCGCTCTGAGGATGTTCCAATGGCTACGGGTCAGCGACGTCGGAGAATCGACAGATATGTACTTCGAACTCAAGAGCTGCGTCAAGACACGACAAATACTGCCTTACAACAGCTGCATCTCGACTGGGCACGAAAAGTAGGTGAAGGGATGTGAGTACACATTTACTAGTCGTACTGGCGGCGGTCGAAAGACATTCATACGTAGACGCGTCGAACAAAATCGCTAAAGACTAGAGCAAAGACGCGATGAGGATGATCAGTGTTGTGGAAAAAGGAGCATTGAGTGCATTCTTTCTGCGATGGAACGCGGAGATGACGATGACGTAATGATGACATGCGAGACCCTGAATCCCTTCGTGATGCGTTTCGCCCACAGCACCAACCAACCCTTCCGCAAGACGCCGCGCATCAGCGACCGCGGCCTGCAGCCATTACTGCCCTCGTACCCTTTCGTCAAGCGGTTTGGCGTGCGCGAACCGAAAAGGCAGTGCTTCTGAGGGGCCATGAAAAAGCCCACTACCCAGACTTCGTCTTCTCATCAACCACTTCCGGCACCTCATGCTCTCCAGACTCAGCTGGCTCACGATTAGCAGCCATCGCCGTCTTCCTATCAAGCTATACGGGTCGTTAGCACACGCCAAACATCTCAGCGACGGACAACACTCACCCATCTGACCACAAATGCCCATCCAATGAAAGCAAAGACCACCACGATCATGGTGATGCTTCCTTTCTTCCAGTACGGTACATCCGTCGCTGGATACATAACAATACCCCACCACGTGTACAGAATCAGACCACCCATAGCCATTGTATACACGGTCACACCCCTCACCGCATCGTCGCCTGTTCGCTGGCAGATGGTTGTGGCCCACCCGTACATGATTGGATTCACGATGAAACTCGTGCCGCTGAGGTAATGCGCTGTGAAGACTCCCGCATCTGGAAGGTTTCGCACGAGCAGAAGCGATGCGGTGATGAGCTGCATCGCTCCACTAAAGATGATCATGGGCAGACGATGACCTGTGTGGTCGATGAAGGCTCCGCCCAGAATTTGGGAGACGATCGCAACAGCTTGAATTCCGAGAGGGTACGTGTTGATAGCGGTTTGAGAGAAGCGAGACTTGTTGTGCTTGAGCCAGAGGAGGAACATCCCCTGGAAGGCGAAGGCTTCGAGCATGGCGCAGACGACTGAGAACGTCGTGAGGATGTATCTGCAGAGGAGTTAGTATAATTTCCTGGTTTGGACTAACATGGCAGGTATCTACTCACATAGTAGGCGTTAGGAGAACACGCTTCGCGAGGCTCTTGAACTCGATGTTGTGGGTGTCTGCTGTCTTAGGTGGTAGACGAGTCATTGCAAGCTGTCTTTCCGCCTGAGTGATGTATGAGACTCTGGTCGACTCTGGAAGATCCGGGAATGTGAACTAGGGTTACTATCAGTCCTCAGGCTCGGGTGCAAGCACTGACACAACTTACGAATCCGAAGAGACCAACTGGAATTCCCATGAGACCGTCTGAAC